TTGTGTACTAAGAACAATCTATAGAAACTATATCTGAAAAGAAAAGCAAATTGTATACAATGTCAAAGCCCTCTGTGTCTTGAAAAATCAAAACACAGTAATACATGAAGGAATGAAGCAAAAATAAGACAAAATTAGCCGAGTGCGGTGGTGCATGCCTGTAGTCCCAGCTACTCGGGAGGCTGAGGCAGGAGGATCATTTGAGCCCAGGAGTTTGAGGTTGCTGTGAGCTAGGCTGACACCATGGTACTCTAGCCCGGGCAACAGAGTGAGATTCTGTCTCAAAAAAAAAAAAGACTCTGTCTCAAAAAAATTTTATAAATAGCTAGGTGTGGTGGCACATGCCTCTAGTCCCAGCTACTCAGGAGGCTGAGACAAGAGAGTCACTTTAGCCCAGGAGTTTGAGGCTGCAGTGAGCTATGACTGAACCACTTGTACTCCAGCCTAAGATTAAGACCCTGTTTCAAAAAAAAAATCTTACATGTCTGAAAACACAAAAGAGGACATAGATCATGGTCTATGAAGCTGATGGAATATTATACAATGACTTGAAACAAGACTATGAGGCATCATGACAAATGTTATAATGTTAAGTGAAAGAAGATTTGTTGCATATGAATTGAGATTATGAAATATGTCTACATATGGAAAGGAGAAAGAAACATTCAAATGAAATGTAGCTGGGGTAGGGTGGTAAGAATACAGATCGTCATTTCCTGTCAAAATATCCTTTAAGATTTTACAATTTGGTTTCTATAATAAGTGACAAAAAATGACAGCTAACAGGAAGATGAAGATGCTTGCTCTCAGTTTCAAGGCTCTCAAGGCCCCCTTTACTTTCTTCTCTGCTTATCTTAGAGATATTAACTCTGAAGCACTGGGTCTTGAAATTCTTGACGATAAAACTACAATCAGCAAACAAAGCGTGAAATGTGTGACCACCCATTAGAAAACAGAATGAAATGGAAAGGAAGGAGTTAAAAGACCAAACAAGGAAAAGCAGGGACATCGAGGAAGAGCTCCAACTTGAACCATGTTCACAATTATCCAGTGCTGCCATTCTTATTCTATCTCCACATGATTAGAGAACTGGTATGAATTCCTGGAATATACTGTCATAGTGAAATGGGGGTCCAAAAGGCCAAGGGAATGATTAAGAACTGGATACTAAAGAAAGAAACGATCACACTCTCAGGCCAACAAAAAGTTCCTATTTTAGGAATTTAAAGTCTCAAGCTCTGGTCACATTAGCAGTAAGTATTCTTCAAATTCATTATCATTTCTCCCAAAGAATTTCATACATAGATTTTGTAAGCACTGATTAGTTCACTGAACAAATCTAAGTCACAATGAGCTTTTCATTTTTTTAAAGCCTCTCTTGTCAGGATACCCAAACATTTTACAAACTGTTGGCCTGTGACGAATGACGGACAAAGTGCTGGTGAGTAAAAACACTAATTACATTATTGTGGTCCTTGTGTATCTTTAGCACAAAAGGTTGTCTGTTTATTTACAATGCTGTAACATCGCCTTGGGTCTAGAGAGTGGTGTATGTGCTCTAGCTTCTCAAATGTTAACTACTGATGAGTCACACTTGCAACTGGAAACTTACTCTGGAAAAACAGGGAGAGAAATGTCTATGCTTGTAAGTTAGGAACAATCTCTAATGTTCATGTTCACATTTACAATGAGGCTGTGAAATCTTGTCTACTTTCTTGTCAACTGACCTACTTTCAAAATAAATTTCCTTTTCTTGGCCACCCACAAGAAATATTTTTATTAATAATTTGGTAAAAATCTAAAAAGGCTAGCTTATTAAATCTTCCTAATATCTTTCTGCTACTGGACTACTTATGACTGCTTACCATGTTTCAGAACTACGTTGGGCCTTGAGATACACTTGAGATACAAGGGTGAAGGAGGCACCCTTGATCTGACGGGTGGGGGGAGGAAATATGCAATTACCATTTTAAAAAAAAGTCAATACCTAATCATCAACAGGATAACAGAATCAGGATTTTTAACATATCCCAATATAGTAACGACGGGATAAAATAAAATGAAGTTTAAGAAGTTTAGGTGCTCAAAACCAATTATACGACTAGTAATATAAAATACAAAAAGCCTTGATTGATGGTAGCTTATATTAAAAAATATTTATAGATTCCAGTTGAGTACAACTCCATACAAGCACAAAAGTCAACTATGTGAAATGGCTGTTAAAAAGCTACCATATGTGGTTATCACTTCACAAATGTATACATATATCAAAAAATCATATACATCTTAAATACATACAATTTTTAACTGTCAATTATACCTTAATAAAGTTGGGAGGAGCTAATGTAAATTAAGAGAATGTTGTGTCCAGATAAAAGAGGACAGTAATCCCGCTGTTTCCATATCCAGAGTTACTTGTTTCATTTTATGAGACTCACTTAAGAGGAACATCACAAAACTAGGGGTGTTGTATGTGTATACGCCCATCCTTTCTAGTGGAGCAATGATAGTCAAGTACCTGTAAGCCATGTTATGCAAAAAGACTGAAGGAACTGAAGACACCTGCCTTAAAAGAAGACCTGGAGGTGGATGGTAAAGGGGGCAGTATATAACAGCTGTGGAGAATGCCTCTGAGCTGGTAAAAGAAGGCCCAACTGTGCCCAACAGAAAAAAAAAAAAAAAAACAGGCAATTTTGGGCCTAATATGAAGAACTTCAAATACCTTGGTCTTTCCAATAATGAGGTACCTTGAAAAGTGCTGAACTCTATGGTTAGAAGTAGTCAAGCACAAACAGATGACCATTCATTAAGAAAATCTAAAAGCAATTCTTATGGGGGGGATTTGAAAAAGATATCTAAAACTCTTCCTATCTTGGAAAAGCTTGTGGCCACGCTGTTAGTTGCAGGCAAGAGTATTAAGTAGACAACACCCACCACAGCTACTTAAAGAGCAGTGGATGATCTCAAGAAGCAGAAAAGAGGCCAGGAATCACTACTGAACTTCACATAAGACCTAGAAGGTTTTTTGAGTTGTAGATGATTGTCAGAAAAGGTACTGGGAGACCAATGATGGCCAGTCTAACTATGAGCCAACAGCCGGCCTGACCACTACAAAAGAGCCCTCCTATTCCCACTGATGGATACGATCATGCACCAGTCTCAGAGTTTCCAGTTTTTCCTTGCCGCCTTAAGTGAAAGGCAATATTTATGGTCCCCTTTCCTCTAATACTCTTCCTATTTACTCCTTGTTTTCAGCGCACAGAGCATGCTGAAACTTCAAAAATCTGCAATGTTCTGTATTTGGGGAGAGTGCAAACCCAGCAGCACAGATGTTATTCCTATATAACAAGTTCATGGAATTTTTTTTTTTGGTTCCATATTGAAAAGGGCAGACTGGCCTGATTGGGTGCATCTGTTTGGAAGGGCTTACAGAGGAAATCCTGAAAACTGGCCTGTCACTTCCCCACTCAAACCTCTAAATTGGGCTAGACTGAGCAAGTTTTTACCTGAGCCTTAGATTTATGAGACATGTACAAACATGCTTATCATAAGTGAGCTGTGACAGTCATTATCCTGAGATTTATGAAACTTGGAACATGATAACATTATGAAACCAGGAACAATATAAGAGGAACAATTAAAATTTAATTCTGGAGCATCAGAGAAGATAAGCCTCAAGTTATACATACATCCTGTGAACTCAGTTGCCAGTCTTAATTCTTTTATCAGGAACGCTCCAATCAACCAACAAATATATACTGAAAGGCTACTTTCAGCAAGAACTCACATTAAGTTGAGTTCACCATGGCCTCCCTAGGATATGACTATAACT